GAGAGAGAGAGAGAGAGAGAGAGAGAGAGAGAGAGAGAGAGAGAGAGAGAGAGAGGTGGGGTGGGTGGGAGAATGAGTCAGGCAAGTCCCGTAATTCAACAACAATACTGACACCCTAACAGCCTATATCCTGCAGTTTCAGAGTGGAGTGAGGAGATATAAAGACCGTGCGCGTCTCATGCGTGTTTGGAGATGGAGAGAGAAAATGAGACAGAGCAAGGCGCATCACTCAGGGGGAGTAGGCGTGCTCTTCTGCGCTGCATCGTTTGATGTTCTCCTCCCCACTACACCCTAGTTCCCCTCCTGAACCTCCACAGTGCGTTCTTAAAAGTCTCCTTGGTGGTGGACTTTTTGGTTATTTATTTATTTGGGGGAAAGTGGGGGCTGTCTGGACGCGCAGCAGCAGTGCAGAGCGCACCGGTAAGCGGAGCCACACGGTCCGCGGCACACCGGAGAAGTTCCACAGCGCAGGCAGGAGGCTGCAGTTTTAGCCAAGACGCGCGCGTCCCGCACCAGAGGAGCTGAGCATGATGTCATGAATTGTTCGGTCACTCAGTATAGGTGACTCTTGCTTTTTTTTTTCATGGTTTTGTTTAGAATTTTTTGAATTTTCAGAAGGAGAGAAAAAAAACTCGCACTGTGCGCGCCAGCAGCAAAGATGCAAGTGGGTCGGAGCTCTGCGGCTCCCTGGACTCGGTTTACCTGGCTGCTCCTACTTTTCTCAACTCTCGGGGTAACCGGGGTGGGAGGCTCTCACCAAAGCATCCCTGCGACAGTGTAAGTAGACGCATGTTTTTTTTTCTTTCCATTTCAAGCAAAACCCCCAAACAGAACCTAAAGAATAAGTTTCTCAAAAATATTTTAGCTGTGCTCCAGGATAAGCAGTATCATACAGAAACAGACCGTTAATGGTTTTAAAGTGATGTTTTTAGCTGGTAAAGTTATGCCTTCTTTGTTCTTCCTCAATAATGCATTTTCATTGTTTGCTTTTGCACATGTTCTGTCTACAGAGTGAAGTTATGGGCATCAGCATTTGGAGGAGAAATGAAATCCATCTCTGCAAAGTATTCCGGCTCCCAGCTGCTGCAGAAGGTGAGGAGCTGTCAAAGGGACTCATCAGGTGTAAAATAAATCCAAAAAATGTTGAACATTTTAGACGTCTTAGGATGCAAGTTTTCAGATTTCTTATTGAGCCCTTTTACTCCCCAAGTTTGACCAAACATATCACCTCAAAGATTTTAAAAATGATTTTAAAAACAATGTTTGGTTGAATGTAGTTGCTGCAATTATATAAGCACATTTTATGATCCAAATGTGTTTATTTCAGTGGTTCTTAACCTTTTTTGAGGCACCGAACCCACTGGTTTTGTATGTGCATTCACTGAACCCTTTTTAGTGATAAATAAAATATGATTTTTTTTCCCAATTTCAAGATATGTTTTTTTTTGCTGGTGTATAAAATGAGCTGTGCATGAACATCACCTTGCTCAAAAAACAAAACTAACACAGTGCATGAACTCACAACAAATTACAGTATGACTTTATTCTGGCCCCAAAAAATATTTTGGCCCTATAAAAAATTTCAGCCCCCCACCCCCAAAAAATACATTTTTTACTATTTCACTAATAAAAAATAAATTAGGATTTTTTTTGAAGAATTTAACATTTTCTAAAAACTTTTTTATTTTAAAGTTAATTTCTTTTTTATTTTAAAGTTAATTTGTTTTTTGTCGTTTTGAATCCACAAAATACTTTTTTGGGGCCAGCACTGATTGGCCAAGCAATCTCACGTGATCCTCTGCAGCAAGTGATGGCCAAGCGGGGCGTGTCATCACGACTTTACACCTCCGCAGCAGAGGCTCCACCGAACCCCTGAGACCAGCTCATCGAACCCCTAAGGTTCGATCAAACCCAGGTTAAGAACCACTGGTTTATTTATTCTATTTTGCTCATCATTTATCACACTTTCTGTAATAAAAAAACCTTCTATATTTAAAAACTCAGTATTTCTGAGAGTCTATTAAAATTGCTGTATTAATGTAAAAAAATAGTTTATGAGCAGAATTGGTTTGAGTTGGTTAATTTGTTTTTACCTCTTAAACTTCAGAACCTGCGCTTTTTAGCCGTTTGAGAAGTGGTAATGCATGTTGACCATGTAAGCTCAGATTTAAAAGCTTATTCAGTGCCATTTAAATGGAAGTTGGTTCTAAAGCACTATGGCACATACGCGCACGCACGCTCACAAATGGCTGTTAAGGAAAGAGCAAATTTTATTGCTACCCAGCAGAGTGTTTCCTACATTTCAAACACCCCCTTCATACCTCTTTGCAGCCTTCTCTCCCCACTCTTCCTCTCTGCCTTTAAGGCCTTAATGCAAGTGTGATGAAATGCAAATTTTTCTTTTTTCTAATGGACGGCCGGTTGATGAAACTCAAGTTATAATTGGTGGATAAAAGGCCAAGATGAAACAAACATCTTAGTGCAGACATGGAAGCCATTTGAGCTCAGGGTTGTAATGAATGAATGCTCACTGTGGTGTGTCTCACACAAGACGAACAAGAGATTTTGACATGACACACAGGCAGGACACACATTTGTCATTTACATGTATCTCCATGTAGAATCAAAATGCCATATGGCTGCATATATAACCAGGCGTTGCATATTCAGAAGCACAGAGCGCACACACAAGCCTGAGCCTGTACAGTGTGCATTTCATCAGGCGCTGATAAGGCAGATGAGTGGTGTTATCTTTTTGACAGAATGAAAACTGTTCACCCTCCTCATCTTTTTTTTTCTTTTCCTCCCTCCGAAAAACGAGATAACCCTCCCACAGAGCGACGACCTCCTTATGAAATGCAAATGAGGGCTGCGGGGTTAATTGAGTGAAGGAAAGACCGAGGACCACTTTGTCGGTTAAGTGCATCTTTTTGCACCAGATTGTTTAGATGTAAATGCAGGGTTATGCAGGCTGTCTGAGCGCGCATTTGCACTTAAAACAAAAGCAATGGCTGTGTTTCACAGCAGCATCCTTTATGCTCGGTCTTATTTTGAGAGAGGTACAGTGCAGAAATGCTGAAGAGGGACCAACTGCTGACCCGAGGGCACATATGCTTTTAAATAGACAACAGACACTGTTGTACTTGGAGGGGAGGCTGCTATTGAAGAGAAAAGTCTCAGCATTGTGTGTGTGTGTTTGTGTGTGTGTGTGTGTGTGTGTGTGTGTGTGTGTGTG